CTCTCTTCCCACTAGGGAACTAGGGCTGACCCACAGAGCAATAGATTCTGAGGTTTGTCATTCTGCCAAGGGGCCAAGACCAGAGCAGGCCCCCCTCTTTCCCCTTGATGCCACACCTGGTCAGCAGAGGGCACAAGCTCATGGTGGCTCTGGGCAGAGGCAAAGACCAACAGGTTCTGGGGATGTACGAGAAAGAAAAGTCGAGACTGGGCTTTGAGAGGGTCATGATTGGAGTTTGGCATTCTGGTGTCCAGCATTTGGGGCAGAATTAACCTGTTGTTGCTCCATCACAGGAAAAAGTCTCACGGCTGGAGGCAGAATTAGATGAAGAGAGGAACACTGTGGAACTGCTGACCGACCGGGTGAATCGCGGGCGGGATCAGGTGACCCCTTCCTTACTCCACATCTGTGGCTACCCTTGAAACAGAAGCTCTGGATTCAGGGTTCAGAGAGCATCCTACAGTTACTCTGCCTCACTTGGTTCAGCTTGATGGTTCATCGTCAGCCCTCCCCAAGTCTGGTTCCTCTCATCCATCTCCTAGGTAGACCAGCTAAGGACAGAGCTCATGCAGGAGAGGTCTGCTCGGCAGGACCTGGAGTGTGACAAAATTTCCCTGGAGAGACAGGTGAGGGGGAAGGGTGTGGAATCATGTTGATAGATCAGAGGAGGCAGATAGAATGACCATGGAAGGGATCAGAAAGAGAGTGATAACTGGAGGCTTCCTGTCCCTCTCAGAACAAAGACTTGAAGAGCCGGTTGGCCAGCTCAGAAAGCTTCCAGAAGCCCAACACCAGCCTCTCTCAGCTTGAATCCCAGAATCGGGAGTTGCAGGAGCGGCTGCAGGCTGAAGAGAGGTGAGATGAACCCATATTTCCACTCTCCTTCTGGGCTTTTCTCCTCTTGGGTGCCCTCCATCTTCTACCTCAAACATGGCCAACCTGGCCTGACCTTTTGATAGAACTTCTTTCTTGATAGAGAACAGAGAGAGCATTGCAAAAATTCTAAAATGTGAACGACGTCTATATCCCCGGTTCTTTGAATCTGCCCTGGATCCTCCCTAGTCTAATGGTGGGGTTCATGACTGAAAGGAGTCTTTGGAGGCACTGGAAGGCCAAGTAGGGGGTTCTTTAGAAATGGTGACAGCTACAGACATCCCCCTTCCCCACTGCCTTAGGGAGAAGACAGTTCTGCAGTCCACCAACCGAAAACTGGAACGGAGGGTTAAAGAGCTGTCCATCCAGATTGATGATGAGCGGCAGCATGTCAATGACCAGAAAGACCAGGTAAGGACTACAGCTGGGGCCAAGCAACTATACAGCCAGGACATACTGCGTTTACTTGAAGGCCAAGATTGGCGCCATCTCATAGATCTTTCAGACTTAGACTTTTCTTGTATACAGAGACTTGATTGAAAGAAGTGGATTATTGTAGGAAACATGTTGAATGCCTATGATGTGCTAGATTCTTTTTCTAAGTATTACACATGTATTAACTCATTTAATCTCCAAGACAAACCTGTGAGTTTAGGGAACTTGCCCATGGTCACGTTTTTCTAGGGGCAGCGATCCCTCATCAAGATTGCTGCAGGGTAGGGTCCAGGCCATGGTGACAGCAGATGCGTTTCTAATGTGGGGACTTGGTATCCCATCCAGCTAAGCCTGAGGGTGAAGGCTTTGAAGCGGCAGGTGGATGAAGCAGAAGAGGAAATTGAGCGACTGGACGGCTTGAGGAAGAAGGCCCAGCGTGAGCTGGAGGAGCAGCATGAAGTCAATGAACAGCTCCAGGCCCGGATCAAAACTCTGGAGAAGGACTCCTGGTATAGGCTGCTTTTCTGCTCTTGCCTCATTGGGATAGTGGAGCAGAAAGGGGATGGGCTCTCCTGGCTGATCTTTAGGGAGAGGAAGATCTCTCGAAGTCACTTATTCCTGGCTGGAAGCCAGTATGATTATCTTTTAGTATCTCTGCTCCCATTCTATACCCCATCTCCCCAAATGTCTGATTAGTGGGGGAGCTTGGGAGTAGCTTTTGGTCTTAGAAGAACTGGGAGTCTCTTTAGCATGAAAAGAATGGCTGTCTCAATCTTTCTACCTCCCTTCATTACCAGTATTTCTCTCTTTGATTCAGGCGCAAAGCTTCCCGCTCAGCTGCCGAGTCAACCCTCCAACGCGAAGGGCTGAGCTCAGATGAGGAATTTGACAGTGTGTACGATCCTTCCTCCATTGCATCACTGCTTACGGAGAGCAACCTGCAGACCAGCTCCTGTTAGCTTGTGGTCCACAAGGCCCAGAAACCACGGCTTGAGGCCTATCCCAGCCAGCCCTGCTCTGCCCTGCCTCAGATTCCTCATTCTTGTGGGGGACCCAATTATTCAGACCTGAGACGGGGGTGATGGTGGTAAAAGGGTATCAGTGCTAAGGTGGTAGACGGACTTTCCTTTTCCTCTGGAGGAGTGGGTATTTTAGGCCACCTGAGCCTTTAAGTGCTGGCTGAGCCCTCCTTCTTCTCCCTTACAGCTGCTGGATGGTCAGCATATAAGCTGAGGGGGATTGAGCAGGTCAGGAAGGGAGAGAAATTGCCATGTATCCAAAGCTTTATTTCTTTAGCCCTTAACCCTCAGGCTCAGGGAAATACCCTAGATGATTCTGCTCCCTTGACTCCTGTAACCTGCTTTCCTCCCACTCTGGAGCAGGGTGAGGGGAACGTTATGGGTAATGGACACGCTCGCATGGCTCTGCCTGTTCCTCGATGCTCCTCTTTGCACAGTCACGGGCCCCATGTGGTAGTCCCCACTCCCACCCCCGTCCTATTTGTTTGTCTTCCCTAAGCGAGTGGATCTAGGAGACCCTTCCCACCATCACCTTTCCTGAATTCCTTCTTTCCTCTTAGTGCCTTAGCCATAGCGAGGACATAAGGATGCTCTTCTTGCCTTTTATACCCGCACATTTATACCTCTGCAAGGACCAGCCTTTTCTCATCTGGGGCCCTCAGCCTTTCCTGTGGCCCCAGTGACTGGTTGAGAGAGCTACTGGCTTCTCTGCTGGTGAGTCCCTTTGAGATGGACTTTGGTAGCGCCGTGATGAGATGGTGGGGCCTGGTTCTGCTCAGGGTTTCCATCCTTCCACCTCTTCCTCTGTGACTGTGGACGTGTTTATAAGGTGGTTGTACCTGGGAACCCTGACAACTGTCTACACAAGTTGAAAAGGTTTCAGTCTCTCCCTGTGGCCTTTTTTGTGGCTTCTCTGACCAGCTGTGCCCATCCACAATAGGGAACTGAAAGACCCTCATCTCAGGAGTTTGGAGCTGATACAGGGCTTCCTAACTGGGGCTAGAGGCTGACTCTTGGTAGAAATGGGAGGAGGCAATGGAGGATTTATTCCTCCTTTGGGTTTGGGGAGAGCCAAGCTCTGGTGGGGAGGAGGTAAGGGAGATGATTCACCTCATTTCCTAAGCAGGCTTTGTGAGGCGCCTCAGGGAAGAAGAAGGCTGTTCTCACCAATGACTTGTAATTTCATGATTTTAAAAAGTGTTCTGCAAATCAGATATTTTCTTCCAAACCAATCCAGCTTTGATTTTTAAATTAAATATTAAAATTATATATCCTGAAATCCTTGTCTGTGTTTGCATTCTTTTTCCTCACTTATTTGGAGGTCCATATATTATGAAGAAACCATTTTAATGGCACAATTTAGAGGCTGAAGCTGGGATTTTCTTTATCTCACTTTTTAGAGGCCCTTTACAAGAGATCAGATGGAACCTAGGGAACTGGGAAGTGTTTATAGCACCTCCATTTTCTCTTAAACAAGTTTCTGGGAATAGCAAGGCCAGTAAATGCCTTCTTTGAGGGTTAGAGGAGACACAAGAACTGGGTTTTATTCTCTTGGGGCATAGGAATATCCCCAGCATTCACCTCCCAGGTACAAATACCCACGTCCATTCTTACTTGGCATGGGACCCAGTCCCTACCTGGGAGGGAAGTTACTGTCATCTCTGTCCTTGTATTGCCTTGAAGAGGGAGATAGATGTTCACCAGAGCCTACTGCTAAATTCAGGGGCACTGCCTAATCAAGAATGGTTCACACCTCCTCCTGCCTGCCTTCCTGTGGTCCATAACCCAGAGAACAGCTGGGCTGGGAAGAGGCTGCAAAGTCTTCCTTGGTTAAGCTCTCTTTCAGACTTTTAAGATGCTAACCTGGGCTTGGGGAGCAAATGCCACTGGAGAAATTTAAGGCTCATCCTTTCTCAAGAATACAATTCCTTTTAAGGACACGTCCCGCCTCTCACAACCATATAAGGGCAGCTTTGGTATACTAGCTTCTGCAAAACAAGCCCCACCCAGAGCCAAGCTGGCTTGACTTTGGCCTGGGCCTCCTGCCAGGAAAGGGCACCTGCCAGACTGGCTTAGGCCAGTCTGAGTGAGCTGGCCCTTGATGCCTGTATTTCTGTGGTGGAGGAAACTTGCTCAGTTTTATAAAGCCTGCAGACGAAGCTTTTTCCAACTCATTCTCAACCTTCCTAATGCCATGACCCTTTAATACAATTCTTCATGTTGTGGTGACCACCAACCATAATATTATTTTTGATGCTACTTCATAACTATAATTTTGCTACTGTTATGTCTTAGGCAACCCCTGTGAAAGGGTCGTTGGACCCCCAAGGGGTCGCGACCCACAGGTTGAGAACCGCTGCTCTAGGGGCTGTCAGGGTGATTATTTCTTGCCAACACTGATCTTGGGGTTGAAAGAGACAGAAAAACTAAGGAAGAGTTTTTGAAATACAACCACTTATGTTGGATAAAACTTGAGTTAAATAGCCACCGGTAGCGCCCAAGATCCACCTGGACGTAAATCTGAGCTAGCGCAGATGGGTGTAACCTGAAGCCTCTAGGCCACGCCTATCTCGCTCACTCGTTGGCCAACGGCGCCGTAGGGGCGTCATATCACCAGGCCCCGCCCCTGACGCGCCTATACAAGGGGGCGGTTCCGCGCGCGCCCGCCTAGCAGGAGCCGGACCTCCAAGGTTTGAGCTGAGTGCTGCGACCCCCGCAGGAAGAAGATGAATGGGTCGCGGGGCTGGTGTACCCTCGTGGACGTGCAGCCGGAGGGGCAGACCGCGGTAAGAAAAAGCGGCCTCACCTATTCCTAGCTTGGTATATTTGGCTTCCAGTTCCGCCGCTCTCGCGCCCCGCGGCAAGTTCGCTGACATCACCTGGTGCCGCGCTCCGTGCGGTCAGCTTCTCGCGGCTTTACTCTTTTCTCCCGCCCCGCGGCGGGCCGTGGGGTTCTCGGGAAGTGGCGGGATGGAGACTCTTCTGAGGCCCCAGGACTCCAGGCGTTCCTTCCCTTTGGGAGGACACAGTGGTTCCTGCCCGTGACTTGGGGGCAGTCTCCGGTGCGCGCTACTCAGGCGTCCTGTGGGCGGTGGATCCGGTTGTAGGAGAATGAGCTACAGGCGTGAGATCCCTGCGCTCTTTTGGAGTTTAGGTCCGGACGAGGGCGTTAGGCTTTTCTGTGGGTCCTGGTGACTTCAGCGGCCCTTCAAAGAACTTTGTAGTGCTTGGGGTGGTCAGTAACAGAGCAAAGAGTGAAGTCCTTTGCACTGGAGGGTGGGGGCGAGTAGGAGTCCACGTACACCGAGATTGGCCGGGAACGCTCTCTCTAGGAGGGATGGGGCTGGCTGCTTGGGGGTTGCCTCTCTACTCGGATTTCTACTCTCCCCGTGCAGTTCTCCTGCTCCCTTCCCCCTATCGGCCAACCGATAGCTTTCTGGGACATTTGTTGGTCTTACTTCCTCTTCCAGCATCCAAGCCCAGGGCGAGGAGATGCCAGAACTTGGGGTGAGAAAGGAAGGGAAGTGACCTACCTACGCTAGAGTTTCTGGATAGACTGAGGGTGGGGGAGAGAGAGGAGTTCTCCAGTGCTAAACGATCTGCGCTGCTCCCCTTACTCCCAAGCTCCCTATCCCCCTCCCCAACCCAGCAGACCGTCTGGTTTTACCCCTCAGAGAGGCAGAGGAAGGTAATTTGTGGCTTAGTGTTTCTAGGTTCTGCTGGGGAACTTAATCCAGAACGGGTGGTGTACTATTTCATCGATTTTCAAGCTATTGTGGTGAGAGTGAAGTGGGAACCAACGTGATGGGGAGTTTGTATTCCTCCCTATTCCCTCCCTCCACTCTATATCTGATTCCCTTCCCCACTTCCTGTCTCAGCAAGCCCCTGAGGTAGCTGTTCCAGCTGCACCTGGATTGGCTCTTCTTCAAAGAATATTTATTGAATAATTGCTCATTTCAAGGTAGGGTAGAGATGATCACTGCTCACAGTCCTCTCTCCATTTTTGCCCAGGCTGTGAATATTTCTATCACCTTACAATGCAGGTCTTGCTACTGCCCAACTCCAGTCCCCCAATCCCTATCTCTGTAGCCTGCCCCTCCCCAGCTATGGGATGCTGTAGAAATGGAAAAAATCTGTTCCTTAATGTGTCTCAGCTCCAAGTCCTATACTATACCATGCTCTTGCTCACTGTTTTGATGTGGTTGAGACAGCGCAATGGGTATGGGGAAAATAAAGGAGAGGGTTGTTTGTGCTACTTTTTGTTTGCTGTAGAAGAGATCCAGAAAGGTCTTGAAGTCATTGGCAGTGTTGGGAATGAATTGACACCCTCTTCTGTCCCTTGATGTTTTACTGCTTGTCCAGTGGGGCAGAAAGTTGGTAGGAAAATTGTGACCAAGGAATTCTAACCATAGTTTAAAGCTAACTGGAGACCTCTAGAAAAAGGGGAGACAGAAAATCACTTTTGTTCCTTCTTTCTAGGTTGGACTTGAGAGTTATTTACTTCAAAGCTGGGAATGAAGTAATTGTTGCCCAGATCTGATCTTGGAGGCATTCCTGAGCTCTTAAGCAGGAGGAAAGGATGAAGCACATTCACTCTATCATGGCACAGTCTTTGTCCTGGATTCCTCTCCTCTGAGCCAGTCTGCAAATAGAATTTATGGCTCTGAATAGTCCCCAGGAACTGTCAGATATTTACACCATTGCGTGAGTGCTCTGTGCATGAGCAAACGAGTGAGTAAATGAACAGATGTTTCTTCTGATGTGCGCAGTGTAGACAGTTCAACTAGTTGATATGTCCCAGTGAGAGTCAGGACCCTGGGACTCTGTTGGTGTTTCCCCACCAGCCAGGCTATGCGCTTTAGTGCGCCACACATGGACATGGGAATATGGCTCATGTAATGTCTGCATTGTTTTTAATTGTTGGAGGCAGATGCAGCAGGTATAAGGAGCTATTGTGTTTCAAGCTGCAGATCATAACCACTAGTGGATCTGAAATCAACTTAGTGAGTTGGAACCAGTATTAGAAAATAAATAAATTCCAACTATATGACATATGGCAAAGGCCAAACAATGGAGACAATAAAAAAAATTGCCCTGGCTGGTTTTCTCAGTGGTTAGAGCGTCGGCCTGCGGTCCTGAGAGACCTGGGTTCGGTTTCCGTAGAGGCGCATACCTTGGTTGCAGTTTGTCCCTGGCCCTGGTTGGGTTGTGCGGGTGGCAACTACTCGATGTTACTCTCTCTCTCTCTCCCTCCCACTCTATCTGAACAAAATATCAAAAAATGTGTGAGGATAAAAAAAAAAAAATCAATAGTTGCCAGGAGTTTTGGGGGTGAGGGGTGGTTAATAGAAGGATTTTTTAGGGCAGCGAAAATACTCTGTATGATATAATGATGGATATATATCTTTATACTTTTGTCCAAACCCATAGAATATATTTACACCATTTACTTCATTAAAGTGAACACTAAGGTGAATTATCAATTTTGGGTGATTATGTGTCAGTGTAGGTTTATCTTTGGTAAAAAACAACAACAACAACAAAAGTACCATTCTGGTGAATGATGTTGATAATAGGGAAGTCTGCATGCATGGGGGCAGGAGGTATATGAGAAATCTCTGTACCTTCAAATTGATTTGATTGTAAACCCTAAAACTACTCTAAAAAATAGTCTTATAAAGGGAAATAGAATGGCCCTGGCCGGTTTGGCTCAGCGGTTAGAGCATCGGCCTGTGGTCCAGAGAGACCCGGGCTGGGTTCCCGCTAAGGGCACGAACCTCGGTTGCAGTTTGTCCCTGACCCTGGTTGGGTCATGCAGGAGGCAGCCACTCAATGTGTCCCTTTCATGTCAATGTTTCTCTTTCTCTCTCTCTTCCTCTCTTTCCCTCCCACTCTATCTGAACAAAAAATGGAAAAATGTCCTCGGGTGAGGATAAAAAAAAAAGAAGAAATAAAATGAACATTCTCAGAGTGTTAGGGTAGACACTTTTGGCAGAACTTTGGTTTCAGTTATATATATGTATATATATATATTGTGTGTGTATTGGATTGTGATGTAAAATGTATCTTTTAGATCAAAAGTGTGTAAGTAACTGTAATAAGTTATAATGGTAAATAAAATCACAAGTCAACCTCAAACATTAGATATTCCCATTAAGTTTCTTTGGTTATACGCAACAGAGCGACTCTAGCTAACGTAAGCAGGAGAGGAATTCCTTCCAAGGAAAGGGGCAGCTCAAAGAATTTAAGGGAAAGCCCTGGCCGGTTTTTCTCAGTGGTTAGAGCGTCAGCCTGCGGTCCAGAGAGACCCGGGTTCGTTTCCTGCTAAGGGCACGGACACGTACCTTGGTTGCAGTTTGTCCCTGTCCCTTTTACGTAGATGTTTCTCTCTCTCTCTTTCCCTCCCTCCTACTCTATCTGAACAAAAAATGGAAAAATGTCCTCGGGTGAGGATAAAAAAAAAAAAAGAATTTAAGGGAAAGTTTTAAAAGTCTGAACCAAGGGTGTCCTGGGGCCTGTGTAGGTGGAAGGAACTAATGCAGGATTTCTGCTTCTGTGTGAATTGGTCTCAGCTGTTTTAGGTCTTTGTCATTCTGCTCAAGATTCTGCTCAAGATACCAGGAAGAGGGTGTCACTTGGTTGGGGGCGGGGAGGGTTCCTTGATTCACAGGCCCATCCCTGATGGACAGGATTGAGATTCTGCAAATTTAAACCCAAGTGATTTTACCAGTGGAGTTTAGAAGCTGTGTGGCAAAAGCAGCAGATGTTCACTACATTACACTTTGGTTGGCATATCTCTGATTTTCTTTCTTTTTCTTTTCTTTATTTTCTTAAATATATTTTTATTGATTTGAGAGAGAGAAAGAGTAAGGGAGAGGGGGAGAGAAAGATCGATGACAAAGAGAACGGTCAATTGACTGCCTCCTGCACGCCCCTTACTGGGGACTGAGCCCCAAACTCTGGCATGTACCCTGACTGCGAATTGTACCTGCGATCTCCCAGTGCACAGGATGATCCTCAACCAACTGAGCCACACTGGCCAGGGCTCCTTCTTTTGCTTTAAAATAATTTTTTAGCCCTGGCCAGTGTGGCTCAGTTGGTTGGGTATGGTCCCGTGCGTCAAAAGGTTGCTAGTTTGATTCCTGGTCAGGGCACATCGCTCTCACATTGATGTTTTTCTGTCTTATTTCTTCTCCCTTTCTCCCTCTCCCTTCCTCTTTCTCTAAAAATCAATTTAAAAATCTTAAAAAAAAAAAAGTCATTTCCAAAGGAAAAAATAGGCATGATTAATTATTAAAGGATCTGATAATAGCAAAAGGCTTTATTTTTATTTATTTATTTTTTGTTAATCCTCACCCAGGGATATTTTTCCATTGATTTTTAGGTAGAGTGGATGGGAGGGAGGGAGGGAGGGAGGGAGAGAGAGAGAGATGTAAGAGAGACATATAGATTAGTTGCCTCCTACATGACCCTGATGGGGCTGAGGATTGAACCTGCAACCCAGGTACATGCTGTTGACTGGAAATCAAACCCGAGACTCTTTGGTCCAAGGGCCCATGCTCTCACTGCTGAGCCAAACCGTCCAGGACAATAGCAAAAAGGCTTTTAAAAGAAAATAGCAAGTATGCCCTGGCTGGTTTTCTCAGTGGTTAGAGCATTGACCCATGGACCGAGTGGCCACAGGATTGATCCCAGTCAAAGGTATGTGCTTGGGTTGAAGGTTTGACCCCGGCCCCGGTCTGGCTCATGTGTCTCTGTCACATTGATGTTTCTCTCCCTCCCTCCC